GTATGTGTATATGTATGTATGTATGTATATATCTATCAGTATGAATGTGTGTATGTATGTCAGTATGCATGTATGTCTGTGTGTCAGTATGTCTGTATGTATATATCTATCTATCTATCTGTATGTGTGTATTTTAGTAAGTGTGTGTCTATATAAATGTGTGCATATTTTAATGTGTGTGTGTGTGTATATGAATGTGTGCGTATTTCAGTAAGTGTGTGTGTATATAAATGTGTGCATATTTTAATAAGTGTGTGTGTATATACATGTGTGCATATTTTAATAAGTGTGCATGTATTTGAATGTGTGCATATTTTAATAAGTGTGCATGTGTATGAATGTGTGCATATTTTAATATGTATAAGTCTGTATGTATGCATATCAGTATGTATGTGTATGTATGCCATTATGTATGTATGTATGTCAGTATGTATTTATGTGTATGTATGTGTGTCTGTTTGTATGTCTGTTTATCAGTATGTATGTATGTCTGTATGTGTGTGTCAGTATGTGAGTATGTATGTATGTCAGTGTGTGTGTGTATCTGTATGTCCTTATGCATGTGTACATGTCTGTATAAGTGTGTATGTCTGTTTCAGTATTTGTGTCTGTTAGTATGTGTGTATCTTTCTGTGTGTGTGTCTGTGTCCTTCTGTGTCTGTGTGTATGTATTCCTGTGGGCGGGATTTGGAGGCAGGGCTTGGAGACGGGCACCCAGGGGCCCAGACCTTGAGCTGTGTTAGGGGCCTTGCACAATAGTGTCAGGAATACAAACATGTATTCCTGACACCATAGTTGTGAAAACGCTATTTGCCCTGGCTTTATGTGATAATGACTATGCCCCTTCCCTTTCATGACACTGTTAAAAAGGGATTACATTACAATTATGCCCCCCCTGGAAAAATTCCTGCGGACGCCCATGGAGGTATTTGAATTCTTTTATACACTCTTACAAAAAGCTTACAGGATGAGATGGGATTTGGTATACCTAACTTGGAATATTTTCAGGTCACTTTGTTAACATAATCACTCTTATTTTGCTTTGAGTCCATGGCAAAATAGTGGCTGGATAATGAGGATGTCTAACCACAACGAAGCACACACATGCTTTGGACCAAATGTTCCACTTGGTGGGAAGATACACCTTCTGTCCACCTTACTGTCTATAAAGCTTTACCATTGATTGGCTCTTCAAATCCCACTGCAACAAACCTCCAGAGTGGCCTCAAAACTGAAGCTGCAACTCTGGAAAAATGAACTGAATATTTATAGTTGGCCATACAAAGGAATTCTCTGTTTAGCCCATTTAGTTCAACATCCATTTACTGACACTTTTTTCTAACTGAATTTCTAGATATGGGTTGCCAACCAGGGATTTCTTCAAATATTGCACTTAGTAACTATCCTAACTGAGGGAAAGGTTTCAGGGAACTCAAATAGATCCCATTGAGTTGTTGGTGAAAAACCTGCCAAAAGCTAAAAGTGTGATTTCTATATGTTAGACCTCAGTTCAATGCTACCTTCATCCTAGATCCCCATTCTATAAGTAAGAAAGGGAAATAGAATTGGGTGTTATGTTTTCTGATGAAAAATGGGTTTTCATTTTTTCAACAATGTAAGACTTATTAGATGTGTTTACCCTACTGAGCTGTTAAAGAAAATCTTCTTTAGATGGCATTTAACACCTACAAGATTACGTAAGTGCTTGAGAGGTTGCAGAATACATATATATCTGATGGAGATGTTCACATATAGTTATACTGTGAGGAGCAGTGTTTCACTTTATATTAGACAAATTGCAGAATATTCTACCATTCACACCATAATATGATTTACTGAGCTCTTATCCCACCAATCTACCAAATGCTTAAATTAAATTTGTATCCAAATATGAGTGTTATTTGCATTGAAAAAGCTGTTAGCGGGTGGAAATCTCAAATACCCAAATATACGTACTTAAAGCGGCACTGTCATGCCGAACTTACCTTTCCTCAATCTCTTCCTCTTCTCACCCTCTCTCAGGATCTGTTCTTCATTTCTTCCTGTCTTCTTTAGTTTTCTTTAAAATCATAAGACAAAGTAGGGACTCTTTGCCTTATGGAGGTTTCCACCGCTTGACCAGCTTTGACCAGCGGAGGAGCAAAGTGTGCTTCATTTCCGCTGGTCAGAGCAATTTTCCCATAATTCTTACCTTTCCTCCCTGTTCCCACAATGCTTCCTGTCAGTATTGCCGAACGTCCTGTCACTTAGACAGAACAAAACTGCCAAATTGCATCCTAACAGAATGAGAACAGTTTCTCCATTCGTGTTAGGATGCAATTTGAGACTTTGTTCGGACCGCTCTGGGGTGGGGGCCAGGGGGGAGGACAGTAGGTCCCCCCCTTATTGGTTTTTAGGGGCCCCACCCACCGCTCAGGGGTGGGGGCCGGGGGTAGGACAGTAGGTCCCCCCCTTAATGTTTTTTAGGGCCCCCACCCACTGCTCAGGGGTGGGGGCCGGGGGGAGGACAGTAGGTCCCCCCTTATTGTTTTTTAGGGCCCCCACCCACCGCCCAGGGGTGGGGGCCAGGGGGGGAGGACAGTAGTTACCCCCCTTATTGTTTTTTAGGGTCCCCACCCACCGCTCAGGGGTGGGGGCCAGGGGGGAAGACAGTAGATCCCCCCCTTATTTTTTTTGGACCCCCACCCACCACTCAGGTGTGGGGGCCAGGGGGGAGGACAGTAGTTCCCCCCCACCATTCTTATATAGGGCCCCCACCCCCTGCTCAGGGGTGTGGGCCGGGTGGCGGACAGAAGGTCCCCCCCTCCCTATTGTTATTTAGTAGTTTTTTTTTTTAAACAGTGAGCATCCACAGGCTGCTCACTTTTAGTGGACATGCCCCTACTCGCGGTATAGCGAGTAATAAACTGAACGAACAAACGAACACTGATATTCGTTGTTTGTTCGTCAGACATTTCTATTCATTCATCTTTCTGACGAATGAATGAATAGATGAAATTCCCGTTCGCATGCCAAAGTGTTTAACTGGGCATGTGCGGGAATCTCAGTGCTATCTAGTGTGGGCAGATGACGTATCCCACAGGGACTTCATCTACCCACACAAAGATGGCGGCGCCCTGAATATAGATCGGGGCAGAAAATAAAGATTAAAAAATAGGTAATATGGGGGGCTTAGGGTCATTTGGGGCTGACTATAGGGTCAATTAGAGATAGTGGAGGTGGGAGGGTGGTTAAAAAAACACGGGATTCGGCCATGACAGTGCCGCTTTAATAGACATGTGCAGTTTTGTTCCGAATGCAAATTCGGATGCTTCCGAATGTCCGGAGTGCCGAATTGCCGAATATCGGAATGCCTAACCGAATTTCAGAATGCCAAACAGAACCAAATTGCCAAAGTGACGAATTTCGGAAGTGCCAAAGTGCTTCAGATTTCGGAAAAGTGGCAAAACAGGAGAGGGTTGTGGTAGGGTTAGTGGTTGGGGTAGAGGTAGGGGTAGGGGTTGGGGAAGGGTTAGGTTTAGGGGTAGGGATAGGGTTAGTGGTTGGAGTAGGGTTAGGGTAGGGTTATCCTAACCCCATTCCTAATCCTACCCTAATCCTACTCCTAAACCAACCCTAAACCTACCCCTAACCCTAAACCAACCCTAACATAACCCTAACCCTACCCCTAACCCTACACTGTCCCGAAGTGTCGAACCAAAGTGACAAATTTCGGAATGCCGAACCAAACCGAATATTTTTCCCATGCACATCCCTAGTACTTACCTGTTAGAGATCAAAGACGTAGAGAGTTCATCTCACTTTGTGCCTTGATGTCTTTCCCTTTCCATTGTTGTGTCTGTTTTTTTTTTCTTTCTTTATAAATGATCTACATGGTTTACATATCCCAGATCCAAAACGTTGCATTGGTTTTGGATGTGAAAAGCACTGGTTTTAAATCAGACACCAAATGGATCTGGCAGATTATTGCCAATTCAGTCTACTTGACCAAATTGCAACAGGAATTAGCTTTAGTTAAATGCCACTCCAGCAGGAATTTGGCCATTTTCACAAGATTTCGATCATCGGGACAACATTTTGTGTTTAGTAAATAACTGTTCTAGATCTAGCTGAAAATTGTCTACACGTTGTATGAAGGGAGGAGAGTGCTTTCTCTTATGGTGACAGCTGTCTCTAATCTAATCTAATGCAAGGATTACAAATAAGAAAACTAACATTCTGCTGTGTCCAGACTAAAGAAAAGCTTAAATTCCTAGATCTCGATCATATTGTACACTGCTAAAAAAAATAAAGGGAACACTTAAACAACACAATGTAACTCCAAGTCAATCACACATCTGTGAAATCAAACTGTCCACTTAGGAGGCAACATTGAGTGAAAATCAATTTCACATGCTGTTGTGCAAATGGGATAGACAACAGGTGGAAATTATAGGCAATTAGCAAGACACCCCAATAAAGGAGTGGTTCTGCAGGTGGTGACCACAGACCATGTTATGGAAGCCCCTCGGTCTGCCACAAGAGCAATACTTTTTGATCAAGTCCTTCGTAGAAATGTTCTAATAAAGACAGTTCAAGGACTTCTGCTGCGGTGACTGCCTGACATTCCTTAATGCAGTGGGTAGCAGCTCACCGTATTCTGTGTGCCCATTCGGCATGTGTGTCATTCGTTTTTTTTTGTGTGTTACGGAAATGCCGACGGTATGTATCGGGCGTTACAGCGTACCTTCTCAGTGTCCTTGACTACTGTATATTGTGCTGCGTCCACGGTGGTTATGGTCCGGAACGCTTCCAAAGCTCGTCCGGCTAGCTTTCCGGACAATATAGCAGGCCATTCCTCGCTGGGGATCTGGTGCAGTGCACATTGTCTCTCGAAGTCCATTAAAAACTCATCTATCCCCATCTCGCTTTCCACAAAGGGTTTGAAAGCCGAAAAGGGGGTATTTCGCCTCCCGGTGAGTTCTGCCAAGGAGAGGGTTGCAGTTGCTACGGGAGCTTGCTGTGCTCTGAGCAGGTTGAGCTCGTGCTCTCGGTCTGCCTGTCGCTCAGCTCTGGCTAATTGCATCTCAGCCTCCACTTGGGCTAGCGTTTGCTGTACCAGTTCTATAGAAGAATTTGGCCCTAAGAAAGCGAATCTCTCCCGAACTATCCTAGTCTTTTCATCACCAGCTGTCGTCGGAGCGTCTGCCATGGTGAAGCATTGATCCATCTCGGTCAATTCCGCAATTAGCTCCGCCCTAGGTCGATTGCTTGCGTTCCCACCTCGACTTTCCAATAAATCCTTTGGGGTGGTACGTTTTAATTTATCACAAGTGTTCTCCATCCACTCCGTGCCTCTACTAGGAATTCCAGGACGATCCCGCCGCTGCCACCAAATACCAGCAAATACCAGTTACCTCCGGGCTGGCTGGAGGTTGGACCGCTTGGATATCCTGGTTCCCAATGTTGGAGAGGTAGAACGTCACTCCTATCAGCATCCACAAAATTCTCCTGAAAGTGTAAAATAATCCCACTAGCTATGGCACAGCTAGGATACACTGTTCCCTACAAAACGAGTCAAGGCTGCGATTTGAGGGTAACACTAACTGAATTTAATGGCACACAGGTGGGACAATTTATGCAACTTTCAGACCAAGGGACAGCCCCTTCTGGACCTGATGGTACACAGGGCAATGACATAGTTTATCCAATGCAACATTTAAAAATGTCCCCGCCTAGCGTGGAGATAATTGGTCTTAACGGTTACAATGACCTAATTATATCAAAGCACAGGGAAATACCACATTTTACACCCATAAGAGAATAACATAAAAAATATATAACTTTAATATTTTAATACGAAAATAGTTTATGCGACCATTCGTCAGATAGCTCAGATCTGAGCACACGAGATGTATGAACTGCGCTCAGATCTCACGAACGATGTGCCAGAGTTCTGATATATAAGTCTGTTTGTACAATCTTGGGCCGAACGGATGGGACATCCGGCCTCCTAGCGGGATTCGTGCAGTTATATTGCCGATTACAGTTCCGGAGATTTTACTACCAAGTATCGCTGAACCCTTGCTGGCAACAAGATGGCCACCGCCTCCTGTTCGGTATGCGAACGGTGACCACCTAGGGTTAGGTACTTAGCTTGCGGTTAACCGCAGAAACCACCACTTAATTGAGAACACACACTGGGTACGTGTGGTCGTCGTTCAACAGTTCTTTCGTATATTTAGTGCAGTCCTCATTCGTCTAATTGGAATATACGAACAAAGCCACCTGGATTCCTATTAATTAACCACAAGCCGCAGCTCCTGGGCGGCTAATTGTTGTCACACTCCGCCGTTATGGTGGTCGATCATTTATTAGGTCTTTTGGTGGTTTGAAAGGTGACTGAGGTTAAGTGGAGACACACGACAGGGTGGGTGGTCTGCTGTTTCTTATATACGAATGGGTAGCACTGCTCATTTGTGTATCTGAGAATAGGGAAGTATCCAAACAGTGATAACAAAATATTATCCATAGTAGTGGCAACAGTAACCAAAATGTAGAAAAGTATTGCTCTTGTGGCAGACAGAGGGGCTTCCGTAACAGACCACTTCTCAGTTCCTGTACTTCCTGGTTGATGTTTTGGTCACTTTTGAATGCTGGCAGTGCTTTCACTCTAGTGTTAGCATGAGACAGAGTCTACAACCCACACAAGTGACTCAGGTAGTGCAGCTCATCCAGGATGGCACATCAATGCAAGCTGTGGCAAGAAGGTTTGATGTGTCAGTCAGCGTAGTGTCCAGAGCATGGAGGCGCTATCAGGAGACAGGCCAGTACATCAGGAGACATGGAGGAAGCCGTATAAGGGCAACAACCCAGCGGCAGGACCGCTATCTCAGCCTATGTGCAAGGAGGAACAGGAAGAGCACTGCCAGAGTCCTGCAAAATGACCTCCAGCAGGCCACAAATGTGGATTTGTCTGATCAAACGGTCAGAAACAGACTCCATGAGGGTGGTATGAGGGCCCGACATCCACAGGTGGGGGTTGTGCTTACAGCCCAACACCGTGCAGAACGTTTGGCATTTGCCAGAGAACACCAAGATTGGCAAATTCGCCACTTGCGCCCTGTGCTCTTCACAGATGAAAGCAGGTGCACACTGGGGACATGTGACAGATGTGACAGAGTCTGGAGACGCCGTGGAGAACGTTCTGCTGCCTGCAACATCCTCCATCATGACCGGTTTGGCAGTGGGTCAGTAATGGTGTGGGGTGGCATTTCTTTGGGGGGCCGCACAGCCCTCCATGTACTCGCCAGAGGTAGCCTGACTGCCATTAGGTACCAAGATGAGATCCTGAGACCCCTTGTGAGACCATATGCTGGTGTGGTTGGCCCTGGGTTCCTCCTAATGCAAGACAATGCTAGACCTCATGTGGCTGGAGTGTGTCAGCAGTTCCTGCAAGACGAAGGCATTGATGCTATGGACTGGTCCGCCCGTTCCCCAGACCTGAATCCAATTGAGCACATCTGGGACATCATGTCTCGCTCCATCCACCAACGTCACGTTGCACCACAGACTGTCCAGGAGTTGGCAGATGCTTTAGTCCAGGTCTGGGAGGAGATCCCTCAGGAGACCATCCGCCACCTCATCAGGAGCATGCACAGGCATTGTAGGGAGGTCATCCAGGCACGTGGAGGCCACATACACTACTGAGCCTCATTTTGACTTGTTTTAAAGGACATTACATCAAAGTTGGATCAGCCTGTAGTGTGTTTTTCCACTTTAAGTTTGAGTGTGACTCCAAATCCAGACTTCCATGGGTTGAAAAATTTCCATTTTTATAATTTATGTGTGATTTTGTTGTCAGCACATTCAACTATGTAAAGAACAAAGTATTTCAGAAGAATATTTAATTCATTCAGATCTAGGATGTGTTATTTTTGTGTTCCCTTTATTTTTTTGAGCAGTGAATAAAATTAAAAACACAATTTTTCAAAATTTTACTTCAGCAATGTAATTGAATAGTAAGTGAAAAAGATTTAAAATAACCGTTATACATGGTGGCAAAATTTGGATTCATTTGACATTCAGTCATATATAAAATAAGTATTACTGTTTATGTGCATACTTTTAAATGCCAGCATATTTTTCTTTCTATTTGTCTTACTCTTCTTTAGCTAGCATTAAACCGCAATGTGAAAAGGGTAAGTGTTTGCTTGAAGTACTGTATCTAATTTGAACTTCTCTAAACCAATAGGAAATACAACTTTTTGAGCTCAATAATAGATGGTTTCAAACAAACCCCTCTGTATTAATTAATATGGCAAACGGATATCCAAAAATGTCAAATGAATGGTATTTGCTTGAGAACTGAATACATATGCCTTTGAAAAAGGAAAGATTAAGTAGCTAATGATATGTTACTCTTTCCTGTGATTTCCATAGGTCAAAATGCAATTTGTTTTAAAAGCAGAACAAAAAAAGTCTATATTTATCTATACTTTCTATAGTCTATGATTGTATGTGTAAAGAGAAGGTGGTAAAGAAATGGCTTGTGGAACAAATGTTTTGCTAGTAATGTTACTATGGGGATGCTATATATTCACTGTGACACATATTAATGCTGCTAAAGTAAAACTGTTCTGTTTACAAAGGTTAATTTAGCTTAAAGGACCACTAAAGTGCCAGGAAAACATACTCATTTTCCTGGCACTATAGTGCCGTGAGGGTGCCCCCACCCTCAGGGTCCCCCTCCCGCCGGGCTGAATAGAGAGGAGGGGTTAAACTTACCTCTTTCTCCAGCGCCGGGCGGGGAACTCTCCTCCTCTTCGGCTGAATGCACATGCGCGGCAGGAGTCGCGCGTGCATTCAGCCAGTCCATAGAAAAGCATTATAAATGCTTTCCAATGGACGCCGGCGTCTTCTCACTGTGAAAATCACAGTGAGAAGCGCGGAAGCCCTCTAGCGGTTGTCAATGATTAACCCCATTTTCTCTGAAACTGCTATGTTTATAGAAAAAAGGGTTAATCCTAGATGGACCTGGCACCCAGACCACTTCCTTAAGCTGAAGTGGTCTGGGTGCCTATAGTGGTCCTTTAATGTAACACTATAGTCATCAGACCCACTACAGGCTTTTTAATGTAAACACAGATAAAAGGCAGTGTTTACATTGCTGACTAGGAACACCTCTATTGGCAGGCACTCAGTCGGCCACTAGAGGTGCTTTGTGGATCAGTGCTGCACACTGCAGGAGCTAAATGTTCCTCATAGAGATGTATTGATTCAATGCATCTTAATGAGTAGATGCTGACTGGTGCAACGTTTTGAAACGCATGCGCAATAATCTCCCAGTGCTTTCCTATGCTTTCCTAAAGCGTTGGATTGGCTTAGAATTTAGATAATCATGAGTACAACAGTAATTCCCATGTACAAGTTTTATAGTGTTTTGGAAAGTAACAGGATCAAATATAGGGCTTTCCCCTTTTCAGTTTTTACACAGATTGGTTTGCTGGGCCTTTGTTGCCAGTTGTTAAAATTATATATATTTTGTAGAATATTGAATATCCTATATGTTCCTATTAAAATACATATTAAGCTGTGGCTGTCTAATGGGTTAATCAGAACAGATGGTGTTTGCTATTCTGTACCATGAGGTCTCTGGAATTTGCTGTATAAAAGATTTGAGGTGGTCTTTATATAGGGAATTTCCTTATATGGCAGAGTCTAAACTAAACGTTATGACGTAATTTGGGCTATATAGAGCCAAGGACAAAGGACCACGCTCTCTTCCTTCTACGATCCATTTTGCTCTCCTCTCTGATGTCCTGAGTTGCTGATACAAAGACGTAACGTCGTTAAGAAATACCATCTGTTAAGTATATTATTGTTTGCTGTTGAATGTAGAATAAATACTGCTAACATTGATGACTACAGTTATTGTAATAGTTATTTTTAAGATGAACAAAACAACTTTCAATCAGGAATTAAAGAATGACTCATTGGGAAATATTAGAAAAAAGACAATGAACAAGTATTAAAAGGTCATGTTTGTTTCGGGACAAAAGATGTGCGAATTAATTTCACAGGAGATAGCGTTATTAATTTAAACATTACAATAGGTCCTAATGATTTACTTAGTTGGACCAAAGGTTCATTTGTACAAGACAATGTAAAAACGGGATCATGGGAACTTAACATATTACAAAATGCATATATCATGATTGTAGTTAATGGAGAGGAAATGGTAAATTGGTCAGGTGACATGTATGCGAACGTTGCACAAACTTCAGTAACAACACAAGGACGAGGTGGTGAGGTACTTTATACAATTCAATACTGGCTTATACA